AAAAAAAAAAAAAAAAAAAAAAAAAAAAAAGGCATAAGACAAAAAGAGAACATCTGTAAGATTTAACACTACCATCCTCAGCAAAAAAAGGGATACAACAGGCCATTCTGAGTAAAGTCAATAAATCAATGTAGATGTTCTCTGTTTTGGACTTCATTCTAATAGGTATAGCTAACTGTTTTAGTTTTCAACTCTCTATGACATATTTTGGTAGCTTTTCACATGGTTATTTGTCATCTGTGTATCAAAATGGTACAATCACTTTGGAAGACAGTTTGACAGTTTCTTATAAAACTAAATACAACTTAATAAGATCCAGCAATCTGCCTCTTTACACACTTTCTGAGAGTTTAAAAAAAAAAAGATCCAGCAATCATGCTTGATGTTTACCCAAATGAGGTGAAAAATTACGTCCCCGCAAAAACCTACACCCAGATATTTTATAACAACTTTACTTATAATTGCCAAAACTTACATTCTTCAGTAGGTAAACTGATAAACCATGGTATATCCAGACAATTAAATATTATTCTGTGCTTTTAAAAAAAAAAATCTATCAAGCCATGACAAGGCATGTAGAAAATGTAAATGCCTATTAATAAACGAAAGAAGCCAATCTGAAAAGGTTACTAGCTATATGATTCCAACTACGTGGCATTCTACAAAGATAAAACTATGGAGACAAATCAGTGATTGCCAGGGGCTGTTGGGAAGAGAAAGATGAACAGGTGAAGCACAGAGGATTTTTAGGGCAGTAAAACCACTCTGTATGATATTATAATGGTGGATACATGTCATTATAAATTTGTCCAAACCTATAGAATGTACAATACCAAAAGGGAACCCTAACAAACTATGGATCTTGGTGTGATAATGTGTCAATCTAGGCTCATCAACTGCAAATGTTCCACTCTGCTGCAGGAAGTTCACAGTAGGGGAGACTGAGCATATGACCAACAGTAAAAAGATAAATGACTGACAGGAGTTCTGGGGTGTGGGTGGAGGGATGAATAAGTGTAGCACAGAGCATTTTCAGGGCAGTGAAACTATTCAGTATAATACTGTTATGGTAGATACATAACACTATGCATTTGTCAAAACTCACATAGCTGTACAACACAAAAGGTGATTCCCCCATGTAAACTACAGAATTTAGTTAATAATAATGTAATAATAATAGTTTCAAAAGCTAGAGCTTGAACTAACTCAAGAGGTTAATAGGAGGAAGTTTACAGGAGAGATAGGATACACAGGAACTTATCGTGCTCTTAAGAATAAAACTGCTGTTGGGTTTTTTTTGTTTTGTTTTGTTTTGTTTTGTTTTTTTAAGTCAATAAAGAGAAAACAGGGAAACAAGACTACCTGATTCCTACAACCCTAACAGCTGGAGTTTTAAGTTCTAGTCATGGATTCTAGACAGGTATTTTTAAATTGAGACATCAACTTTTCTTGTAGCATTACCATTTATATATTAGGTACATCTATACTGGATAATGAAAATGCCATTGAGGATCAAAAACTGACCAACCAAATCTCAAGTAAGCATCTACCTTTGCTTACTTCATTTGAATAGGCAAAATCAAAGCCAACATATTCCTAAAAACTGTTTCTCAAAATGTGAGTCAATGGTACTCTAGGAATACATGTCCTAAGGCCTACTGCTCTAGAACTGCTGAACAAAACTCTGCTTTTTACGCTCAAAGTAGGCTCTCCTTTTAATAACAGTAATACAGAGACTCTATCTTAATAGTTACTACCTGAAATTAGGCACTCTGTGAAATGTTTTATCTGTTTTATCTCAATTAACTCTCAAAACACTTCTGTAGGCACAGGCAAAGTTAACACAAAGCTAATAATATAAAAGTTTCAGAAGCTCGCAATTTAAGCTTCTAATTTTAACTAAGCCCTGATGTCTATTTGTAATTTTATTAAAGAAGGTCCCTAAAATACCAGCTGCCGACCTCACAAAACCTAGATCCGTCCTGCCTGTGAGTTTTGTGTTGTCTCCCAAGTTCTTACCTGCCCACTGCTGGCTCTTTATATACACCAAAACCTAAGGCTAAGACATGTGAAGTAATGTGCCCAAGGTCACAGAAAAGTAAGTACAAGAATTGGAATTAGAAACTAGAGCTAAACTCAACAGCCTATAGTTTCTCTAAACCAAAATGGAATGGAACCAACATATATGTACACATTGCCATCTCCACACCTCTGCAAACATATAATAAATTAATACCACAGGTGGAGAACAACTTACCACAACACAAAAATCATGATTTATTTGAAAAGGTCAAGTAAATTTAATATTCTACATCTCCCTTTGTTTTAGTACAGTAGTCCCCCTTATACACAGGAGATACACTCCAACTGCCACCCCACTCCATAAACCCCGCAGATGCATGTAATGGTGGATAGTGTCCTTACTCTGTATATACTGTTTTTACCTCTACATGCATACCTATAATAAAGTTTAATTTATAAATCAGACACAGCATGAGAACAATGATAAAGCAGAACAAACAACAATACAATGCAAAAAAGTTATGTGAATGTAGTTGCCCTCTCTCCCTGTCCAAATACCTTATTCTCAAAATATCTTATTTAAAGTACTTACCATTTTTCTTGTGATGTCAATCTGATAACTGATTGACAGGTAGGTTATAGATAAATACACTTGAAAAAGCAATAATTCCTGTCCCAGGCGGGCCAGAGCACATCAATGCAAGCTTTCATCATGCTGCTCAAAATGGTGTGTAATTTAAAACTTACAAAATGTTTTAATTCTGGAATGCAGCATTTAGTATGTTCAGAACACAGTTGACCATAGGTAACTGAAACCTTGGAAAGTGAAACCAGGAATAAGGGACTACTGTATTTTTTAAGGTCTGCATTAATTGAAATTATACCAAATAGACACAAATTGAAAAATCATAATATTGCTAATGATTTTAAAAGAAAAAAAAACACAGATAATCATTCCTGATTTTTTTAAAAACAGCACTCAAAATAGGCAATAAAGGGAAAAAACAGAAAATTGAGAGAAAACAGATTTAGTTGAAATCTCCGTATCATAATAATATGATAAAGACCTAAAATGAAGCATCTTACTAATGCTTCAAGAAACATCATCAACAACAATAATATGGTCCACTAGATTCACTATTATTCACCATTATACTATAAGTACTAAACAAACAACGCGGTTAGACAAGAGAAATCAATGAGAAGTATAAAAATTAGAAGAGTAGTAGAAAAAATATATATTTTTGTAAATGAGAGTATACCTGGAAAACCTCAGAAATCAATGACAGAATTAACTCAAAACTTCAGTAAGGCAGGATACATAAAAAATTAAACATATTGAAATCAATAGCTTCCACATATACAAATCATAATTACTTAGAGAATACAATGGCAGAGGAAAAACCTCACTAACTGACAAGATGGAAGAAAACATCTTTAATATAAATGAAAGAACTAACACATCTAATACAAAGAACTCAAAAATTGAGGGGAAAGGGGACAGACCAAAGGCACAAGAGAAATGGCTAAAAGACATGAATAGACTATTCATAAAGATTTTCTTAAAGACTCTACACATATGAAAAGTTGTTCAACTTCATGCATAACCAGAGAAATGCAAAACTATACCATGAAATAAGCCAAAGACAAAAGGACAAATATTGTATAATTTCATTTATATGAAGAATCTAGAATATACAAATTCATACAGACAGAAGGTAGAAGAAAAATTAACAACAGCTGGGATGAGAGGTATGGAGTTTGTTTTGAATGATGAAAAAGTTGTAACACTGTATAGTGGTGATGATTGCACAATACTGTGAATATAGTTAATGCCAACACTTCTGCACATCTAAAAATGATGAAAGTGGGCCAGGCGTGGTAGCTCATGCCCATAATCCCAGCACTTTGGGAGGCCAAGGCGAGTGGATCACCTGAGCTCAGGAGTTTGAGACCAGCCTGGCTGGCGAAGCCCCATCTCTACTAGAAATACAAAAATTAGCCAGGCCTGGTGGCGGATGCCTATAATCGCAGCTACTTGGAGGGCTGAGGCAGAAGAATCGCTTGAACCCCTGAGACAGAGGTTGCAGTGAGCCAAGATTGTGCCACTGCACTCCAGCTGGGTGACAGAGCAAGACTCTGTCTCAAAAAAAAAAAAAAAAAAAAAAAGATTAGGAGTGGTAAATTTTACATTATATATTTTATGACTAAAAAAGATTCTCTCCCTGACCAAACTTGAGCCAGGCACCTTCTCAATTAGGCCTCAACCTTGGTCTATAAAGAACTGAACAACACTAACATCGCTCCTATCAGCTCAAGACCACGTCTCTATGATGACCCTGTCTCCACCTTAAGTGCAGGCCTAAGAAACCTCAATGC